GAGAACTTAAACAAAATAATACTAAAGAAATAAACAAGAAAAGAATGCTAAAGTGGAGCAAGCTCAACTCTTAGATACCTGTACCTCCCACCAAAAAGGAAAAAATGAAAAAATAAAATTTTTTAAATCATTAAAAAAAAGTATATTAATGAAATTATTTAATTAAATTGTGTTTTTATGCGTGTATGTATGCAGCACAAAGTTGAACCCAAACAGCACCAACAACAACAACAGCTGCGGGCAGCGCTACAAGCAGAGCATGGGCACCGATTTTATTTATGGCTATAACTTTCTTCAAAATTGACCTATCATGATGAAACTTGGCATACAGACACATAATAACGGGATGTAGCTATCTAATTTTTGTTCGAAATTCCAAGAACTACGGGAGTTATGTAAAAAACACGAATTGTGGGGGAGTGGGGGTGTATCAGAATAAAAAAATAAACTTGACCTGCCTAGGGCTTATGGGAATCTGGATACCGAGTTTGGTTATTCTAGCTCTTGTACCTTCTGAGATCCTTGCGCTCATACACACGGACGGACGGACAGACGGACATGGCTATATCGACTCGGCTTGTCACCCTGATCAAGAATATATATACTTTGTGGGGTCTGCCACGCCTCCTTCTGTGTGTTACATACATTCGCACAAAACCACTATAGCCTTTCACCCTTTGGGTACAGGCTATAAAAAGCCTATAAAAATGACAAATATCTAATAACGAATCCGACACGGTGGGAAAATTTTATTTGCCGAACGGCCAGCTATGCCCCGATTCACAGCAGAGAGTTGTCAGATATGTTATTAGACCTATCAAAAAAGAAGTGAAGATGAAAAAATATAGCAATAAAAGATAGAAGAAAACAAAAGTCGAGCAGGCTCAACTCTTAAATACCCTGTACCACCCCACAAAAAAGTAATTAAATTAATTATTTAATTTAATTAAATTAATTAACTAAATTAAATATAAAATATTCCATGCATGCATACATACATTTACATCAGAATCGTGCCTTATGCGTGTTTGTGTACTTGCACATATGTATGTATGTGTGCATTGGGCCTGGTTATATGGCTATAACTTTCTTTCCGATCATTCTATCATAATGAAACTTGGTATACGGATATATAATTACTAACCTAATGTGACTACCAAATTTTAGTTTAAAATTCCAAGAATTACGGGAGTTATAGAAAATCGTTAATAGGGGGGAGTGGGGGGTTGGATCAGAAAAATGAACAAACTTGTCCTTTCTCGGGCTCAGGAAAATCTGTTTACCAAGTTTGGTTAGTCTAGCTCTTATACTTTCGGAGATCCTTGCGTTCATACAGACAGACAGACGGACAGACAGACGGAAAGAAGAAAAGTTATTAGCGAAACAAATTCTCGCCAGTCAACCTCACCAAACTGCAGCAACAAGTTCGCTCTTCTTCTTCCTCTTTTTGCTGCTGCTATGGGCGCATATAACTCAGTGACGGAAGTTTACCTGGGTACAGGGTATTACACTGTCGGGCTTGCTCAACTGCAACGTTCTCTCTTGTTATAATTATACCCTGTACCCGTAGGGTAAAAAGGGTATATTAGGTTTGTGCAAAGTATGTAACATACAGAAGGAAGCATCTCCGACCCCATAAAGTATATATATTCTTGATCAGCATGACGAGAGAAATCGATCTAGACATGTCCGTCCGTCTGTCCGTCCGTCTGGATGAACGCGAGGATCTCAGAAACTATAAAAGCTAGAATAACCAAAGTTGGCATCCAGATTCTCCTAGATCCGAGTAAGGACGAGTTTATTTTTTTTTTTTTAATTTTCCCCCCCTTCCCCCTCTACAGAATTTCGTCAATAGCGTCCACATTTCAAATGCTACCTAAACCAAACTTTGCACACACAATTCATATATAATTGTCTACTGGTGTTCAAAATTTTATTCAATTCGGTCAATTCTAAGAAAAGTTATTAGCGAAACAAATTCTCGCCAGTACAACCTCCCCAAACTGCAGCAACAAGTTCGCTCTTCTTCTTCCTCTTTTTGCTGCTGCTATGGGCGCATATAACTCAGTGACGGAAGTTTACCTGGGTACAGGGTATTACACTGTCGGGCTTGCTCGACTGTAGCGTTCTCTCTTGTTTTTATAGTGCAGTACTCAATAGTAATTATTGAATTCTACAGCATTAGATGTGGCCATCATACCTGGAATCTTAAAATCTCATCTTAAAAGGTGTTTTAGCCAGAATTATTAACAGAGCGACCTTCTCTTTCAAATAGTTTGCAAAGAAGATCAAGGAACTTCACATCTGGTATTCTTTTCCCATTGTCTTATCTTTCCCCATAATGGGGAAAGAGCAAACAGATTCTTTTACACAAATCTAATCTAATACGTGTAAAACTTTGAAGTCGCGGCACCCATTTTATTAAAACATTGTTCCACAAATTGTTTTTATACCCTGTACCCGTAGGGTAAAAAGGGTATATTAGGTTTGTGCAAAGTATGTAACATACAGAAGGAAGCATCTCCGACCCCATAAAGTATATATATTCTTGATCAGCATGACGAGAGAAATCGATCTAGACATGTCCGTCCGTCTGTCCGTCCGTCTGTCCGTCTGTCCGTCCGTCTGGATGAACGCGAGGATCTCAGAAACTATAAAAGCTAGAATAACCAAAGTTGGCATCCAGATTCTCCTAGGTCCGAGTAAGGACGAGTTTATTTTATTTTTTCGAATTTTTCCCCCCTTCCCCCGCTACAGAATTTCGTCAATACCGTCCACATTTCAAATGCTACCTAAACCAAACTTTGCACACATAATTAATATATAATTGTCTACTGTTGTATAAAATTTTATTCAATTCGGTCAATTCTAAGAAAAGTTATTAGCAAAACAAATTCTCGCCAGTACAACCTCCCCAAACTGCAGCAACAAGTTCGCTCTTCTTCTTCCTCTTTTTGCTGCTGCTATGGGCGCATATAACTCAGTGACGGAAGTTTACATGGGTACAGGGTATTACACTGTCGGGCTTGCTCGACTGTAGCGTTCTCTCTTGTTGAGAGCTAAATTTTAAGCCCTCGGAATATCCGAGAGGCTATATGAAATTCAAAGATACCAAGATAAGTTCCGATAAGTAACGTTAAATACTAAGAATGATGTTTGTAGCAATCGGTCCTATGGCAGTTTTATAAAAAATATGTATGGTTTGCAATAAAATTGCTCTGCATGTGGATACAGATCGACTCGTTTTATCGTGCTGACCAGTTCTTTTTAATCAAATATATTAACAAATAAATAATGAATGTAAAGAAATTTTGTTCTTTTTTTGTGGGAGGATACGGCATTTTAAAGTAGCAGCCGCTCGATTCAAGAATTCAAGAGCCCAAAATGTTGGCTTAAATGAATGGCGAGAGCGTGCCCGATAAACAGGTAGTATTAAAACTATCATTTTATACAATTTTGGGCTCATTTACATAACCAACTGTTTAAGATTGTAACATTTAAGCTATACTTCCGATTAGCCTTTCTACCGCTCATTATTATTAGCTTTTATTACCATATTGAGATAAATGGCTTGAAAGAGAAATTGAATTGGGCTCGCAATCTAAATGTGCTCCAAAAATTACAACAACAAATGTGTGCATTTACATAGGTGCCCGTCTGATTAGGTTCGCCTATTATGACAACTCATTTCCGTCGGCATCGGGCTTAGCCGCTGATTGCCCAGTTATCTGCGCCAAATGTGAACTGATTGGATGAGCTTGATAACCAACATTCATCACACTCGCTCACCATTCACTTTTTGTATAGGTCGATCAATTTGGCGCTTTTTACGTATAATGTGTGCAATATATATCGCGCTATATTTACGCCCAACGACGGACATATCAGCATAAGAAAACACCCTCGACCTTGAGGTAACACATGACACACATACATATACATGGATGGGTTTACAATGCGAACCTACATACATACGCGGACGAGTAAACTAAGGCCCAGGCCCGAACTCGTCTTATTCAATCAATGATGCTCCATTAGATTTTATAGTTCAAGTTATGGACAATAGATTGCATTATTGAGACAAAAGTGCATATAAATCTATTGAAGCCTCGTTGTATTTTGCTTACCTTTTTATCTTTATCTTCGCCATTCGACCGATTTGCGTCTGATGGATGCAAAACCAGACAGCTTCGAGTTTGTATATACATATGTATAGTATAGTATTCGCAATACTCGTAGTACATGTATATGCGAAAAGTGGCCCTTCTTTTGTGACGAATTGTTGTCCACTTCGGTATACACTTCACACTTCTTTTGTCTTGCGACACCAGAGTCAACAAGTTATTTAAAATCTATATACATATGTTTAATTAAATCAAATACAATAATGCCCAATGACTGAAATATGATTGTCAAATTCATTTTCGAGCAGTAACGTATGCTAATGCTTGTGCATTTTTATCAAAATTAATTTTAGCAAGACGAATGCATTGTTGGATATGACACATAAATGTGAATACATCCGAGTATGGCAAAGCATTTAATTGTTTTTCCACTCGCCCGACTTTTGTTGGCGAATGCAAATGCTGTCGCGACAAGTCCGAGGTGTAACAAAAGCCCACTTGCCACCCAACAGTCAACATTTGTCTTTCAAGATCCGACTCTTGGCCCGACGCCGAAGCTGCCATGCATAACTAATTTATTGGCCCAAAGCTGTTGTAACCTTTTGTTGTTGTGGCTGCTGCTGTTGCTGCTGCTGCCACGGCGTCTGCGGCTGCGTCTGGCTCTGCTGCTGTTGTTTTTATTAATTCCCAATTGTAAACTTGTTGTTGCTACACAATATGTTTGGCTATGCCTTCAGCAGCCCGCTAGCTCGCGCCATATAAAAAGTGGAGCCGGAGCTGAGGGCATCATCACTTGACCATTTGACATAGAGAGCTACAGTAGCAAGTACGCGTAAAGCCGCACCCGAAACTCAACTAAGACAACCGAGCAGCAGCATGAAGATATTTGTGGTACGTTCGCGGATTACCTCACTGGGATACGAAATGGCAAAGTGCGGGACTAGTGAATAGTGACTATGTGGGATCAATAGAAATGTCGAGACTAGAGATCCACAGCTCAACGCAACTCGGGCTTTGTGTTATTTTATTTATTTGAGTCGTAAATATTAGTTTTTCCCGGAACGACCTTTCCATCCTAGCAGTGAAATTCAATGCAAATTTAAATAATTTTTATTTTATTAAGGGGAAATATCAAAATGAGTTATTAACACTCGCCAAATCATTTAAAAAAAATACCAAGAAAATAGGCAATAGAAACGGAAACAACCAAAACTCAGTGAAAGCGAAAGGACAATATTTTAACGACCTAGTATTTAATTTTGTCAATCGACATTGAACTTGTGTTCACAGCAAGCCACATCTTCTTTTACAGACAGTTCTTGTGGCTGCCCTGTCGCTGGCCCGCGCCGACATCAGCCTCACGCAACCGCAATCTGGCTATAACTACCGCGTGCAGCAGCAGGCACCTCCCCAGCCGCAGCCCCAGGCTCCAATAGTGGCACACTTGCTTAACCAACAGCTGCAACAACTGCAACAGCAGCATTCCTCCTCTGTATCCTCCCAACATCCAGTGCTGCCGCCACTCCCCTATCTTCCGCCCGCTGGTCAGTACCAGTCCCACGGCAGCCGCCCCCTGGCACCTGTTGCACCTGCTAATGGTGCCTATCCAATGCCTGCCGGATTTCCCGCCACGTTCCAGACGGCACCACTCCAGCAGCACCGTCGTGCCCGTCCACGCGTGAAAATAGCCAAAAAGCCTATCGTGACGAAGAACTTCTTCATACACTCGGCACCCGAGGAGTCGGACGACGAGGTGCAGGATGAGCTGGCCCAGTTGGCGCAACAGCCCCGCAATCACTACAACGTGCTGTTCGTGAAGACGCCCGCTCAGACAAATCGGGCTGCTGCTCTCAATCTGGCCAAAACGCTGAAGCAAGAGAAGACTGTAGTCTATGTCTTGGCCAAGAAAACAACTGCGGCTGATCTACAGGATGCCATTGCAGAGACACCTCAGCACATTAACAAGCCGGAGGTCTTCTTCATCAAATACCGTACGCCAGAAGAAGCGGCCAATGCGCAACGCCAGATCCAGTCGCAGTATGATACTTTGGGGGGAACATCGACCATTACCGATGAGGGTGTAGCTCCAATAACCTCCGTGGTGGGCTCCCTTGACCCTGTCGAAGATGAAGAAGAGGAGCAGCAGCAGCAGCATCATCATCACCAGCAACAGGGCCTCATCGAGTCCTCACAAGGGGGCTTCAGTGAAAACAGCCATAGCAACCAAATCGGCAACCACTACCTTCCGCCAAATCAGTTCTGAATATCTTCCATGATTGTCCAAACTTAGTTAGTTAGCGAGTTCGCACTGCGCCGTGTACGAAGCTCGCAAGTTGTTATTTAAGTGTGAATAGAATTTATAGGTGCATAAGTTGTTTTCGTTTCATTTTCAGTTCATTTCCATAAAGATTAAACAAAGATTAAACGCTGACATCAGTTTTACTTTTTCCAAGCATTCATTGCGTTTTTTTTTTTATACCATGTACCCGAAGGGTGAAAGGGCAGTAGTATTGGGTCAGGCATCCGTCCATCTGGATGAATGAGTTCTTGTGTTATCTTTTTATTTTTTTGTTTCAGTTAAACTCTTTAAAGTTAACACATTTAGTTATGCACACCACGTAGCCTATTTCAATTTTACCGATCGTCATGCTTCAAATCACGCTGATATGCTGAACATTCGAAAATCGTGCGGAGAGGTGAAATATAGCAAAATTCAGATTATCAACATGTCCCTATTGAGCCTCCGTTCTCTGGTTAAGTAGCATTCTATTCTATTCTCGTAATGGGCGTGAATTGTTTTTTCTCTGGCAATCGTCCTGTAGATTCTAACTGTACGCTTTATGATCGATCTAAAAAAAGTATACTGATTGATGTGCACTTTACTGTAAGCTCAGTGCAGTAAAATGAGTTGTGTCAAAATATTTATTTAAAATGAACAAGATGTTACAATTCGAAAAAGTTGGCAGAAAAACCTTTTATGGCTTTGCATTTTGAACAGCCAGCCATTTTTGTGCGTATGAAATCAAAAAAGAAAGCCATCCGTGTGAAGACGTAAGGCTCGCCATTGGAGCAGCCCGGTCCAAACGCTGAGAGACCAATCAATTTGTTATCAAACACAATGGGTTGGCCCATTTCGTGGTTACAAAAGTCATTGTCCTGTGGTATTTTTATGCATATATGACTTATATCCACGGGGTTTCTCGTCTTGCCACGATACGCTGCTTTGCATTCCTCAAAACCTATCCAATTAACGGAAATAGTTTTCATTATATTCTTTTCTTCCTTTCTCCAGCCCCAACCGGTAAGTTGTAATTGCGCATCTCTTGGTATCACCTCTGCATTGCAATCAATGGAACTTACGCTAGCAGACAAATGAATAGGGATTTTCACGTGCGCCAGGCCGATGTCATTCGATCGCTTTGGTATGTCATAGTGCGGATGGAGCAGCACGTAGTCGATGTGGTAGACACGTCCTGATCCAACTTTGGACAGGTCGCGAATGCCTGTAACTACTTTTAAGCGATGCGGCTCGTCACTCTGTAGACAGGTTGCAGTGCTCACAATCCACTCTTCGGAGACAATCACACCACTGCACATATGCTTGTGGTTTCTCTTCATTATGGAGACTTGGTATGTCGCCATTTGATTGTTCGCAACACTATCTTGTGGACCATCGCGGGCTTGAATGTGACGTGGCCGTTCCTTGTGGGTTCGCATATGCGGTCGATTATCCGCCCTGTGGTGCCAGGTCCTTCGATTGATTCTATGCCGCCCCTTCGACAGATGGCCCTGTATTTGCAGAAACAGCAACAGCCAAATAGCGATCCTAGCGCTGCATTTCAACATTACGAAATTCGATTGATTCGCCAGCTATTTCTTATAACTGAAATTTAAATACCAGCGAAATGCTCTCATAAAAAGTTACACCTAATCAATTCGATATGCTGGCATATGAAATTAGAAATTACAAAAGTAACTCAACGGACATTGTATTGGAGTATTTTCAAATTAGAATCGAGCAACAGAAAGTAATACTTCACGCGAGATTTTAATTTCAATTTCATGGTTTTAAATTCATAACAATATTAATTTAAGCTACCGGTAGGGTGAGAAGCGTGTATTACGTTGATTGTGTCTAAATAAGGAGAAGTAAGTTATTCTAAGCTGTCGGACAGACATGTCTTAATCTCTTTTTGGTCAAATAATCTGTCACAAGCGTCGATCGATGAGAGCAATTTTTGGTCGTCAGTCAATTTTTGCGGAACAAACCGTGCACCCACCTTTCGTTAGCCCAAATGTTCGTTCAAAATGCAATAAATCGATGTTTTGGAGATGTTCATTTCCATTTCCATCAATGTCATTGATGATTTCGGCTGATTTTTGATGAATTCACGCACGGTTTCGATGGAATTTTCGGTGATCACGAATTTTGATTGGCCCACATGTTGATCGTCATTTAAGTCCTTACGACCACTTTGAAAACGTTGAAACCACTCGTGCACTCTGCTACGGGGTAGGCAATCATCGCCATAAACTTGTTCCATCAATTGAAACGTTTAGGTAAAAGTTTTACCAATTTTAAAACAAAATTTAATGTTGGCTCTTTGTTCGAAGCTCATTTTCGCACCGATAACACAAACTATACTGACATTAAAACGCAATAACTTCCCTTCCAATCAATGAAATGTCATGAATCACTGGACAATCGATAAAGATAGCAGATTCTAACGCACCAGTCGACATATAGATAGGGCCACCAGGGGGCGCTAGATTCAATAAGTCCTGTTTGCTTTGGAAAACACTTTGTATATTTACTTTATCAGATCGAAGATGCTTCCTTCTGCCTGTTATATACTTTGCTCAATCCTAATATACCCTTTCTACCCTACGGGTACACAGTATTTCTGTTTAATCAAAGCATTGAAGCCATGCATTCAGATTAGCACCTTATATAAAAAAATGTTTAGCACAAAAACGGCTTATAATTAGATTACACCTAATTTTGAATTTACAAGGTTTGTTACACGTTTTTAACACGGTTTGAAAATGAAACAAGATGGAACGCTACAGTCGAGCAAGCCCGACAGTAAAATACCCTGTACTCTCCACAAAAAAGGAAAATTATTTAGAACAAGTAAGGAAGCTAAAGCCGGGTGTCCCGACTTTAAAACCGATTTCAAAAAAGAGGAGGCTATCAATTTGTCTGTATTTTTGTTTGTTACCTCGGTACACTCGACTGGGTGAACTGTTTTTAATGGTTCTTATACCATTTGAAAGCTGGTGCTTCCAGAATGGTCCCATATAAATTTAGTCCAGTTCTGACAATGGCATCCATGAGAAAACAGCATAAGTCTTAAATTTGTATTTAGTATGTGCAAGGCAAATGAACGAATAACTTTATATCACGATAACCGATTTCTATGATTCTTTTTTTATTGGAAAGGATGTACTTTAAGGGTACTTTGATGAGAGTTTGGTTAGGTTCTGCAAACGAGGACGTTCTCAATTCGACTGTATTGTTCATTGTTACCTCAGAACTTTAGACAGTGTAAACCGATTTAAATGATTCCTTTTGTATTTAAAAGGAGTCTCCATGACTTCTTTTTCTTCATTTAAGCGGCGCTGTCTCATATGAGAAACACGTTTATTAGGTCTACCCATATTCATACACATTAGTTAGTGTACTTCACATTCACTAAAAATCCAAAAATAAACAACAATTTAAACAAAAGAAGATAGGACGCTACAGTCGAGCAAGCCCGACAGTAAAATAGCCTGTACTATCCACAGAAAAGAAAAATTAAAAAAAAAAAATTTTAAAAAAAATTAAATTATTAAAAAAAATGAAAAAAAAAAAAATTAAATTAGAATACATGTTTATGTTCAGTTTTAACAGCATACATTTACATCACGTACCTATGCGTGTATGTATGCAGCACTAAGTTGAACAAAAGCAGCAACAACAACAACAGCTGCGGGCAGCGCTGCCGACAGAGCTGCAGGCAGCGCATGAGCAGCGCATGAGCAGCGCATGAGCAGCGCATGAGCAGCGCATGAGCAGCGATTTTACTTATGGCTATAACTTTGATTTCAAAATTCCGAGAATTACGGAAGTTATAAGAAAAAACATGAATTGCGGGGGAGTGGGGGGGTGCATCGAAAAAAAACTCAAACTCGTACTTTCTCGGTCTTAGGAGAATATGGAAACCAAGTTTGGTTATTCTAGCTCTTATACTTTCTGAGATCCTTGCGTTCATACGGACAGACAGACGGACAAACGGACAGACAGGCGGACAGACGGACGGACGGACATATATATCGACTCGTCTTCTCATCCTGATCAAGAATATATACACTTTGTGGGGTCTGCCACGCCTCCTTCTGCGTGTTACATACGTGCGCACAAAACTAGTATAGCCTTTCACCCTTTGGGTACAGGCTATAAAAAACCGATTTCAAACTATTCACAGGCACTAAAAAGTAAAAAGTAATTGCGTATTCTTCTACAACTTAATATTCAATATATAATGTAGATACAATTATTGTTATTTTTGGAGTCGGTGTCAGCCAAGGAAACACTATATAGAAACAATATATCAATCAATCAATCAATCTACCAGTAATAATATGAGAATACTTTAAGAAATACTTTTTTTTACAAATTAACTTTTATACGAATGCAATATACTGTGACAGATTACCAATACCTAATTAAACCCAATTTCAAATTAACTTTTATAGGACAATACACGTATAACTGTGACAATATCTGCTACCTTGAAACAACAAATAAACCGGTACCTAGTTAAACGAATTAAACGAATCAAACGAATTTTAATACGACACTATGCTGAGACATACGGGTAATCAAGGAAATGCTGCTACGAAAATATAGTCAACATTAAACACAAGGAATTACCGTAAGAATGAAGTAGTAGATATAGAAAGAGAAAAGAATCTGAAATGGTTCGTAATGAAGTGCCTCTTTCTCTTGACTGGCGCGGCGCGCGACCGCTGACACCGTCTCCAAAAAGAACAATACAATTACAATACATTATATATTGAATATTAAGTTGTAGAAGAATACGCAATTATTTTTTCCTTTTCAGTGCCTGCTAATAGTTTGAAATCGTTTTTTTTTTTTTGTTTAAATTGTAAACACTCTGTACATATGTATGTGTAGAGTAATTATGCGTGTATGTGTGTATTCGTGTGTATGTAACAGCAACAACAACAACAGCTGCGGGCAATGCTTGGTCATACACACATATATGGCTATAACTTCCTGTTAAATTGGCATATCATTATGAAACTTAACATACAGATGCATAATCACTAACTGGACGTATTGTCCGAATTTCAATGCAAAAATTCCAAGAAATACGGAGTTATGGAAAATCACTTATTTCAGGGGAGAGGGGGGAGGGAAAATCTAATGTCCCTAGCTCTTATAGTCTCTGAGATCCAGTTGTTCATACGGACGGGCAGACGGACAGACAGAGCTAGATCGACTCGTCTTGTCATGCTGATCAAGGATATACTTTGTGGGGTCTGCCACGCCTCCTCCTCCTCCTTGTTACATTTTTCAGCTCGCGTACTCATGTACAGAGTATAATTATACAAATATCAGTACATAAGCCCATATGTATGTACATAGCCGTATGTTCAAATTTCCGTTGTAAATATGGACTCATCAATTCCTTTGCATTTACTAATCCTGCATTGGTTTATAAAACTAAATATTACTCTGTGTAAATTAGATTACTGTTGCTCCTAGCACATAAACTAGGGACAGTGATTGTTTGTTGTTTCTATTAGCACATGAACTAATAGCAATAGTATTGTCTCTACCGGCACTTGTAACTAGGTGGACTCGGTGCTGTAGTTATGAAGAACTCGCGGGGTTTGGTTAATTTCGATGTATCAGCAGCGGGTCGCAGCAGCGGCAAGCGGGAATTACGGCAGCGAATGCCTGAAGTGTTAACCAAAGCGTTAACTGTAAACGTCGGGTCAGCATTTGCGGCATTTGACTTGCGAATCTAATTTGCAGATACATATTTAGCGCAAATCTGAACTTCGTATTTTTGGCTAATATGTGGATCTCACATACATACATATTTGTTGACTTGGGGAAAATAACCTTATCAGCGAATTTAAGGTTAAAAAGAAGCACTAAACACCTACCTTATTAGGATGAAACTCAATTTATAGCTAAATTAAAAGCAAATAACAATAATGTGGGAAAGAAACTAAAACGCATTAGCGGCTTCTTAATTTCTCGTAAAATAAAAACTTCTGCCTAATAAACTTTTGCGTATGTACGAGTATAGGCATATAAATTAGGAATGTATTTTATATTACTGTAAGCAATACGTTTATAATGTTTTTATGGCATAATCGAGTGTTTGTTCGTTTTGGCATTTGTTCAATTGGCTTTCAATCCACGCAGCTCTCAACAGGCAATGCCTTCTGTTGTTTGCATTTCGCGTATCCAGTCCTGATAATACGCCACGCTCGCAAATACGTCCGGATAACCAACGGCACAGGCCTCGCCCCAATTAACTATGCCCACAAGAGTTTGTTGGTCATCGACAAGCGGACCGCCGGAGTCACCATGACAGGAGCCCTGGCCCTGCTCGGTGTTCGTGCAAATGTGTCCCTCACCAAGCCAGGAGGCATTTTTTACCTTTCCCTCACATGTGGAGTGTTCCATGTAGTTCAATTCGACCTTTTGCAGCTCCGTTTCATAGCGGCCCCAGGTCTTAATGCTGCCCCATCCGCTCAGCGTGAGTTTGTCGCCAGCTTTGAGGGCCTTTCTGTTGCTGGCCAACTTCGCCGGCTGTGTGCGCTCATCAAAAACAATGGGCGTGGCTGTGTGGATTAGCGCAATGTCATTGTGATACATTGGCTTGTCGTGCAGACAATGCTTCTTTGCCTCATCGACCAAGTACTCTGCACCTGGCTTGGTCCAATCATTGGTCCCCGTCACTATCTTTAGATACTTTATGGGCCACTCCAGACAGTGGGCTGCAGTCAGGATCCAGTGCTCGCTGATTATGCTTCCACCACACACATGCTCCCCAAATGTATTCATAATAGACACCTGATAGGGTGCCCAGCCTTCCGGTGCACTTGATCCGCCAATGATGCGAGTCTCGGGCTGTAAGCCCATCCTGTGACGAAGTTGCTTTAATCCTAGATCCCGAGCGGCACAGCTTCCGAAAACCAGTAGCATCAACAGACCGGGTAAAAGTGAATTTCTCATCTTTAACGAAAACTTTTAACAATGAAATTTGTATAGCACGTTTACGTTGCTCCAACTCCGTTCGTAGCTTGTGTTTGGCCGCAAATTGGGGCCGATATTGCTTTTATACCCCTTCCACGGCAGTGTGCAAATTTCCATTATCAGGCCCCGTACGTTTCTTTGAATATTGTTAAGATAAGCGTGGCAAGTTTTCGGAAGCTCTGATAAGCCCCATTTCCATAGCCAATAGCTCCGATTAGTGCGCGTGTTAACAAGAACTCACTGAACCAGTCAGCAAGTAGACAGACTGATAGGCAGCTTACTCATGCTTAGCGTAAATAACACTTTAGAACTTTAGACTGTCTCGCAGGTACACACACCTGTATTGTGTATTTGTACACAAATCACTTAATAAATCCCCAAATTGTTTGAGCACCACTTCAGCCAATCGTAAACAACTTACCTTTTCTTTTCTAAAAAAATTCCAGTCAATGAATAAGTGATACAAATAATATAAGCGCCATTATAAGTACTATGTACAACATATTAGAAAATGCTTAGAAAATGTGATCTTATTATATATTTGTAATAAAATTCAATTAACTGGAAAATAGTTTAAGGAAAAATGTGTGTGATTTCCTATTGTTACCGATTTTTATCGTTTCCCTTTTGAAACTGCTTTGCAGTCGTTTCATAAACCTTATAAACCGTTTTGTTGCATTGACTATATAGTATTCTTCCTATGCATCAGTTTCAGCATCTTCGAGTTTCTGTTGCTGAACTAAGGCCATTTGATAATCAGTAAATAGAACAGCCATTGATCGTGGATATTATCCAGTCGTGGTAGTAGCTGATGCGTGCGAAAACATCGGGGAATCCGTAGCCACAAGGCACGCCCCAGTTGGCAATGCCAACCAGTCGGCCTTGCGAGTCCACTAAGGGACCGCCTGTGTCTCCATAACAGGCACCCGCACCCACACTGCCCACCGCACACAAATGACCAATGTCTAGGTCCTCGCTATTTTGGTATGTATTACGACACTTCTCGGGCGCAACATAGGTGAGGTCGATGGACTTTAGCTCCCACGCGGCGTTACCGTTTACATCTTCGTTGCCCCAGCCCGTCAGCTTCAGCTTCTCACCATCCTGCAGATCGTCTAGACTGGCTATGGTTATGTTCTGTGTGACATCATCGTACGCCACAAGCGTGCTTAACTTGATCAGGGCAATGTCATTGTGATAAAGTGGCTTGTCAAAGTTGCAGTGAGGGATTATGTCATCGACCATATATTGGTATGCTTCACCAGCCCACTCGTTGGTGCTCATTACCACTTTAATGTTGGCTTTCCGCAGTCCAGCCACGCAGCTCGCCGCTGTCAGCACATACTGATCGTGTATTATGACTCCGCCGCACATGTGGTTGCCGTAGATGTTCTGCATGGACACTTGATAGGGAGCAGCGCCCTTGGCGATCACCTCACCTCCAATGATGCGTGAATTGGCGCCGCTGGTGGTGGGCAGCGCATGATGTCGCAACGCAGCTTGGGCTCCGACAAGGAGCAAGATTACGACTCCGATTTGATTCAACATGCTGCTGCCTCTTGCAAATTGAAACTGAATCAAGCAACGACTAATTGCTCGCAGCTAAGTTGTGATAAACCGATATCGTTGGATATTGATGACTCGTAATCAAAAACTCAAAATATGGCCAGCCATAAAAATCCCATAACTGGGCACTTGATATCTAAAAACATGCTATCGATTATATTCCAGCCAATATAGTTCTACATAAATCAATTATTGCTGGAAAAACATTTGTTTACGATCAATGATTAATAGAAAAATAAATTATTGAACTGCACGACTCTTACTTAATACCTTCACATGAATCGAACACAACCAATATACTATCAAGTCTTAGCAACTTCCTTGTTTAATACGACTACAATTTATCTTCGCTTGTCTAACAAGGCAAGTAAACGAGTCACATCACATCATTCGTGGCCAGTCGTTCCATCAAACCTAATATACTTTCCTAACTATCTAACATTCCATGTCACCAGTCCTCTATTTACGAACAGCTATAATTCCGTATACTGAAATTCATTCAAAAATATTCTACAACATACAAAGCGCTCACACAGCTTTGAATCTTCTATATTATTCAGTTTTATACATTTTATAGTAGTTGGTTAATTTAGTTATACTTGTAGTTGGCATCAAACAATATATCTGTCATAAGATCGATAGTGTAAGCTTTGAATATTAAAAACATATGTTGCCTGCTACTTCGATGGCTAAGCAATAAAATGAGGAAACCTTTTTTGTGAAACAAAGAAATAGGATGCCTTGAAAGACGGGAACAAGCAAAAATGTTTTAGGTAATCATATATGGTGGGGAAAATTTTTTTTTTTTCTGTTTAATCAAAGCATTGAAGCCGTGCATTCAGATTAGCACCTTAACAATACATATTTACAAATATAAAATAGCCCAACCTCGAGCACTTCCGCGCGAGAATTAATAAGTTAGTGGTGGCTTATGCTTATCTAAGTGTTTTGAAAAAACCTAATCGTTTCAGTCTTCGAAAAGGTCTAGCAGGAAGGAGTCCTCTTGCAAGCAAACTGCGGTGACTCAGAAGCCTGTCACTGTATCTGCTTGTATGCCTTCCAATCTGCTCCTCTACGGTGAACAGGTTTAGGTCTCGGTGAAGGGTCGAACCGCGCACGTACCAGGGGCAGTTGGTAATTTGCGGCAAGGTGGGGATATAAGTATCAAAAGAAACAATAAACTATAGGTAGCTAAGGAAATAGAAAATAGCCATTATGGATCTACTTAGGATCCACTTGACCGATGGAATGCTGGCGTCCAAAGTTAGTGATGCCGGCATTAACTAAAGAAATCCCCATTTAGAAATTTGCACAAAACTAAGTTTTAAATAAAACAGAATTTAAAGCCTATCATCCTAGTTCGTAGGACTTGGGAAAATGACAAAAGAAGAGATCCCTCAAAGCAAAGCAAGTTATTGCCGAACTTGTGTTTCAATTCGAGATTCACGGCACCTCTAGCCTGCCTTAAACTAATTGCCAGCAAGGGTATGAAAAAAAATTGCCATTAAAACTGGTGGCAAGATATCAGTAGTGCTTCCAGCAGTCACTTTCCACAAAGAAGGTAACACGTTTCTTGGTTCCAGATCACTGGGCTGGAATCCCTGGCAACACAAGCGTTGATGATTGATAGGTTAAAAGTCGACCAAGTACAGGGTAGGGTTTCGATGAAAGACCCATTACAAATATGAAGAACTTGAGTCTCCCCAGGAACAAATGTATAAATATTTTTATAAAGTACTTCACACAGCAATTTCCTATTTCCTTTAGGAATAATAGGATATTTATATGGAAACCTATTTGTCGAAAAATGTTTTTTGCAAATTGCTTTCGGTTCAGAAAGCAGAAAATTTGAATACTTAGAATCGTCTGTACATCCCCCGTTTACTCTGTTGACTAAATGCTCTCGTTACTAAGTGATTTTGTTAAACATGACTCTCTATATTTGCTCAAAATATATTTTATTCAATACATCTATGTACTCGCATTGTAAAATGTTAAATCAAGATTCAAGGGTCTTCCAGCATCGGGTTAAATTCGGTCAGTTTTACCCGCAGCCATTGATGGTCGTGCGTATCCAGTCGTTGTAGAAAGCAGCTCGCGCATAAACGTCGGGAGCGCCCAATCCACAGGGCACGCCCCAATTACTGACGCCTACGAGCTCCCCCTTACTATTGAGCAACGGACCGCCCGTGTCGCCATTGCACGTCCCCTTGCCGACCTGCAACTGCACGCAGACATGACCCAGGTCAACGTCATCGGTATTTCCCAATGCACTGCGGCACTCCTCGTATGGAAGGTAAGTGCCCTCCGCCTTATACAGGTAATCCTGCAGGCTACTGCCACTGCTCTGACTTCCCCAGCCGACAAAGCGCAAATTCTCGCCCTCCTCCAGCTCATCGATCTCGGCCACAGCAATCTTGTCAGTCTGGTCGTTAAACTCAATGCCCTCCCCACTTAGTCGCAGCAGCGCAATGTCGTTGTGATAGAGTGGACGGTCGAAGTTGCAGTGCAGATGTATCTGATCCACGAAATATCCGGGGCTCGTCAGATTTTGCCAGTTTATGGTGCCAGTGTTCACAAACAGGCTGGTTGAGCGCAGACCAGCGACACAGCTGCCTGCAGTCAGAATCCATTGCTTGTCTATGATGGCGCCTCCGCATATGTGATAGCCATATCTGTTCTGTATGGACACAATCCAGGGTGTTTCGCCTTCGGCTACCACATTGCCGCCCACAATGCGTCCTTGTGGTTCCTCATATTTTTTTGTTAACACAGCCGATCCTCGCGCCTTTGCAAAGATCGAAGCGGGATATGGCTCTCCATGCATGCGCAGCGCCGTGGCGGCACAAAGAAAGCCGAGCAGAAGCAACCACGGCATTGCTGATTTCACCACAACTCTCATAGTTCTTCGAAGTGTTACTAAACAAGCACTGGCACTAAATTAAAAATTATAGCTCGGCCGGCGCTTATCAACATTAAGTAACGACGACGTCGTGGTGCCGACGATGACAATGGAGGGGACAACTTTTATGGTTATTGTCCAGACATTAGGATAAGGTATTTTCATAACCAAACTAAAGTAAATAAGTTACAGATTCAATGAAAAATCTTTGATTTACACAAACTCCCAGCAGCATTAATTCGAATACTAATTATCAGATCTTATTCTGGGATCGTTGAGAATTAGTACACACCTACTCATGAAGCTTGATAATAAAATTATTCATATTCGCCAATTGTTTATAAAAAACGTATCGCTTATCCAAGTGTTAACTTATCGCTGCATTATTAGACCTTCAATTAAGCGTGTTTACCGGCCAGCTTTTATCATATCGTATAAATAAAATATTGACCAGTGACTTGGAAATATTCCACCTGATAGGCGCTGGGCAAAACCAAATACAATTACTTTATGCGATTGCCCAGTTAGTTTATTTGGATTCCACCATAACACGACTCAATGATCCGTAATTTCATTGCTGGTCATTTAGTTTGGCGTCTTGCAGTGCTAGCATGCAGTATTCCATTTATATAAAATATCCAAATTTAACTTGCATTGCGTATCGGTTAGACTTTGGCAGGGAAACGTGCTCCTGTGACTGGGCTTTTCCACATAAGTCGCGCAAGCTATGTGCCTACATCATGCTTACGATCGTAAAGCACGAAAATAACATTGTATAGTGAGTGAGGGGAGTGAGTGAGGGGAGTGAGGGAAGTGAGAGCCGCTTCTTGATAGATCCCTCATCAATAATGAGTGGGGTTTGCTCGGTTCCGCTGGCCATTCTGTGAGATATCACACAGGTCGCTGTAATAAGTGGTGAACTGTAAGTGTCACCTCCGATGACTAACAAGCTGGGGTTCCCCGGGTTATGATAAAAGGTATCCATCTTAGGGCTGGCCGAAAGTTACAAATTTCAAAGTCGGACTATCAAGTGGGAGAAAAAACATTTAGCAATTGCCTAATGGAAACTTCTATTATAGCATTGTCACGATTATTAGACAAATATCTTCCATTTTATACCCTGTATTTGGAAGATCCGTCTGTTTGATCCCAGATACTATGAGAGCCAGAGACAAAATGTAGTACACAGATGCCTCATACGAGTATGTGTAAGCAATGCGAGTTTTTATACCCTGTATCCAAAGAGGAAAATGGGTATATTAGGTATGTGCAAGGTTTGTCCCTGGGAAAAAGAAGCACCTCCAGCTCCATGAAGTGTATACATTCTTAATCAACCTGACGAGACGAATATATATGTCCATGTCCGTGTATGGTATAAAGACTCTTCTAATATCCAGACGCTTTTAATTCGGGTATAGGGTATTTCACTGTCGGGCTTGTCCGACTATAGCGTTCTTTCCTGTCTTTTCTAAGCATTCGTAATTAGTGATTTTTCCATATCTCCGTTCCTATAAACAGATCTCTGAGACTAAAAGAGCTATCGACACCAAATTTTGCACACAGATACTTATTACCGAATTCTGTTTTTACACGGTCTTTTTTTACCCTGTCCCCAAAGAGTAAAAGGGTATACTAGTTTTGTACGAATGTATGTAACAGGGAGAAGGAGTCGTGACACACACCATAAAGTACAAGTATATATATTATTGATCAGGATGACAAGACGAATCAATATAGCCATATCTGTCTGTCCGTCCGTCCGTATGAACGCAAGGATACCAGAAAGTACAAAAGCTAGAACAACCAAACTTGGTATCTAGATTCTCCTAAGACCAAGAAAGTATAAGTTTGAGTTTTTTTCGATGCACCCACCCCACTCCCCCGCAATACGTAGTGATTATGTGTCCGTAAGATAAGTTTCACCATGAGTGGTCAATTCTGAAGAAAGTTAAAGTCATAAGTAGGTTCAAAGAATGCTGCCTTTATAGTTTCTGAGATCCTCGCGTTCATCCAGACGGACAGACGGACGGACATGTCTAGATCGATTTCTCTCGTCATACTGATTCAGAATATATATACTTTATGGGGTCGGAGATGCTTCCTTCTGTATGTTACATACTTTGCACAAACCTATTATACCCTTTTTACCCTACGGGTACAGGGTATAAGAAGGGCCAGAACTCGACTATCATTGAAAGTGACCAGCGGTAAAACTATGGCAAAACCGTACTTTTTAGCTTCGAAACTTGCATCTCAGGAAGCCCTAGCCAAGCAATATGGGGCAATACTTTAACTACTCAGTTTAAAATATATAAATTAACATAACATAGTATTGGTTACTCCTACTTATTTTCCTTTTAGTTTAGTGATGAAATCATATTTGTAGCTGCAACAGAATAAATTCAAAACATTTTTTGTGTATAATATTGTATGATATATTACACATTTTCAAATACAATACGCTCTATTAGCGCAATATTGTTTCCATTCTGAATTGATCATTTTTGGATTTTCTGTTTATCGCGAAAACACAAGGACAACAAGCGCGCTTGAGGGATTCAATAGCTATTTATCGAAGCTTATTCCAAAAAATGGTTTAGGTAGCATTTGAAATGGGGTCGGAGATGCTTCCTTCTGTATGTTACATACTTTGCACAAACCTAATATACCCTTTTTACCCTACGGGTACAGGGTATAATAAAAAGAAAACCACCTCTCAATGACACACGTGAGGCGACACGCATACGATTTGACAGAAAGCACATGTCCTGGGATAATCAATGGTAGAAGGTAGTTTTAACGATAGAAAAAAATTCAGCCTGGAAGTACCGGATGGATATAACTTCTACTATCACGACTTATGAAAGGAAGAATGTGTTTTGAGTCGAAATCACAGTTGTACTATATAGGCGGCGTAATGGTGTGGGGTGCGATTTCGTACTATGAGACGTGTGAGCTTCAGTTTGTGTCAACAAAAATGAATGCAAAAGTGTACAAAACTGTGATCCAAAAGGCATTTCCACATTTTTGTAATATTTTTGGACCGATTCCATGGTTGTATCAATAAGAGGACGGTCCCATTCATACCGCAAAAGTGGTAAAACAGTGAATCAAGGACCAAAATGTTGAGTTGCTCGAGTGATCGCCATATTCACCTGACCTAAACACTATCGAAAACGCTTGGGGATTGTTGTCTCGAAAAGTATACGAAGGCGGGCGACAATTTAACGACACTGAGAGCCTAATTGACGCCATACAAAAATCCTGCGCTACTATATCGATTACAGTCCTAGAAAATTATTATATGTCCTTAAGAGATCGAATCTTTGAAGATATTACAACCAAAGATGGTTGTACTAAATACTAATTTACTCGTAATTAGTTTATTTTTATGTTACTAAAGCCATGAAAAACGCGTTTATTATTTACTTTTTTAGTTTTTAAGTTACTGAACCTATTCAACTAAGTCATTTAATGTTATGTTTTTGAAAAATTTTCAAAAAATATTGGAAACAATTTGCTTTAAGCCCCAAACTTTGCTGTTTTATTAACAATAAACTATTCTTCCTACAAAATTTTATTTGTTCAAAATCGACGATTTGGTTGAAAAGATATAACCATTTGAACTTTTGAGAATCGTTGAACCTATTCAGTTGAGCGGCAGTGTATGTATGCATGTGTTGAATATTTTATATTTAATTCAATTATTTAATTTTTTTTTCAATTATTCTTTTTTGTGGAGAGTACAGGGTATTTTATTGTCGGGCTTGCTCGACTGTAGCGTTCTATCTTGTTTTTTTTTTTAATCTTTATTCTTTATTTAAGATCAAGTTTTATAATTTTGACATTTTTTATACCCTGTACCCAAAGGGTGAAAGGGTGTACTAGTTTTGTGCGAATGTATGTAACAGGCAGAAGGAGGAGTGGCAGACCCCACAAAGTATATATATTCTTGATCAGATTGAGAAGACGAGTCGATATAGCCATGTCCGTCTCTCCGTCCGTCCGTCCGTCCATCTGTATGAACGCAAGGATCTCAGAAAGTATAAGAGCTAGAATAACCAAACTTGGTATCCAGGTTCTAATAAGTCCGAGAAAGGACGAGTTTGTTCATTTTTTCTGATCCACCTCCCCACTCCCCCCCTATTTTCTGTAACTCCCGTAATTCTTGGAATTTTGAATTAAATTTAATTTGGTAGTCACATTAGGTTAGTGATTATATATCCGTATACCAAGTTTCATTATAATAGAATTATCGGAAAGAAAGTTATAGCCATATAAACCAGTCCCAATGCACACATACATACATATGTACAAGTACACAAACACGCATAATATTTTATATTTAATTTAGTTATTTAAATAAATTAATTAATTTAATTCATTTAATTACCTGGATGTCAGAGACTACAAGTATAATAGCTAAAATTTTGCACAATGATGCCTTATGTGTGTACGCTGTGCAAGTTTGTTTTATTTTTTTCATTTTCCCCCCCACTTAACCTCTATAGGGGTTTTCCAGATTTTCCATTCGTACAATCGCCTATATCTCGGAGACTATTAGACCTAGAGACATCAAATTTACGCAGAATACGCAGAAAATGTGTATTTTGGAATTTCCCTCTCTCCCCCCCATCCTCCGCACATCGTAACTCCCCTAATTATTGGAATTTAAACTTGGCAAATACCTCCATTTAGTTATTATAAGTCCAAATGCCAAGTTTCATCATGATAGGCCGATTTAAGAGGAAGTTATAGCCATATATGTACATAAGACCAAGTAGTCAAAGTCGGGATACCCGACTTTAGCTTCTCTACTTGTTTTAAATGTACATAATATTTTTCGGATTGTATTTCCCAAACCCGGTATTTAATGCTCACCTTAACCAGGCAGCCAGTCGAAACCAAAAGTTGTATATCGTATATAGATAAAGATATGCCAAGCTTAGACACTCTAAAGGTTATACACAACTCTGTATTGCACATTTACACAAACATCTTGTCACAAATATATGTAATCTTTTGAAACAGTACGACAGTATGTAGATGACATTTATTTTTAATTTTATTAATTCTAGTTAATTCTATTTGCTAAGATCCTGACGCTTATATAGACAGATGGCTATATCGACTCGTCTTGTCTTAATGAACCAAAATATAACTACTTTGTAGGGTCTCACACTCCTCCTTTTACGTGTTACCTTTTGGGTACAGGGTATAAATATATATTTACATTATATACATTTTTGTAATCACGTTCTTCTTGTAATGATGGTTGCGGCGTGATTCGAACCGTGTACCTACTCAAAGGAACGGAACCACAATTGTGACATTTCTGCTAGCTCATTGAGCTATGCCAGGCTCCAGAAAATTGTTAAAATTTGTTTTCAATTTGTATAATTTCTATAATTATTCTACACATAATTACAGAGTATATCAAAGTCGGGACACCCGACTTTAGGTTCTACCCTTGTTTCTTCTATTGCAGATTTATTACAGTAGAAGCGAATGGGTCTATAGAAATATGACATTATACCCCCATTGTACCCGTACTGTATTTAAGAAAAGAAACTCACTCTACTCTATCATTGATGTAATCAGCCAATTTCCGCAGTCATGGTTTACAATGTACACCTCACATGATTCAAAGTTTCAAATATTTATCCAATGGTCATATTAATTGCTTGATTGCAAACCTATTGCCGATAAGTGTCTGCCAGTTTATGAGCTAGATATCAACAGCTAGATATACACCAAAAAATAAGATTTACAGTAAAAAAAATCGGGTATAAAAGCGAAATCACGATCCATAAAGACGTTTAATAGGTTCCGATTGGCATGTTAGAATGTTGTTTCGGTTCGTGACTGCCTTCCTGCTCCTGGGCTGTGGCCTCAGCGACGCAATACTCCGCGTTGAACTCAGTGCCGCGCAACGTGCAAAGCTGTCCGACCCAGCATCTTTGGCCAATAAAAAATTGGACAATCGCGTTGTAAACGGCTTCGATACGCCTCTTGGTCAGGCACCTTACCAGATCTCGCTGCAGTCCATGTATAACGAGCACATGTGCGGTGGCGCCATTGTTGGCGAGCGCCATGTTGTGACGGCGGCTCATTGCGTCTACGGGTACAACCCCATATACCTTCGCGTGGCCACAGGCACTGTAAGGTGGCAGCAGCCGGATGCAAAATATTTTGTGGAGGAGTATTGGGTGCACTGCAACTACAACAGCCCAGATTATAACAACGACATTGCCGTAATACGCCTTAACGACTCGATTGTGTGGAACGATTACACTAAACCCATAGCGTTGCCAACAGAGCCACTGGCCAACAATACAAAGGTTCTGCTCACTGGCTGGGGATCCACGGAATATATGGGAGACACTCCCGATGTGCTGCAGCAGGCCTCTCTAACGTATGTGAATTACACAGTGTGTCAGGAGGAAATGGGCGGTGATATTCGCAACGGCGTGGGGCATATGTGTACGCTGACACACGAAGGACAAGGTGCATGTCATGGGGATTCCGGCGGCCCATTGGTGGCAAATGGTTATCTCTACGGACTTGTAAACTGGGGATATCCGTGCGCCGTTGGCTTCCCAGACTCCCATGCATATGTTTACTATTACCGCGATTGGATCCTGCGCACCATGTCTGGGCCCTGCAAGAATTGTCACTGCTATGCCAGTAACTATGGTGTTTAAAAAGAAAGTCCAATCTCCTTATGCAATAAAAGTATATATGTATTTATATGTATTTATTTATATATTTATTTATTTGAGTTGTTAAAAAATTCTATGTGACTGCCAGGATGCGCATTGTTCTCCAAGCAAAACAATAAAAACAAACAAATCTTGCAGAGGCTAACTTTAAATATAAAATTACATAAATATCCTTAATCTGTGCAATCGAGATATTGTTTCAACACCTAAGGAGAATCTATTTAATCAAACAATACACCTCTTAAGCGGATCAAATTGAAAATAAACTACCTAAAACATGCACTAAGATATAGGAATCGGATACTGATTGGAGATTTTTTAATTAGGAATAAATTAATGAAAAAAACTAATGTTAAAAATTAAGAAAAGTGGTTGACGCCAGTAAAGCCGATTGCATAATTATGTTTTGCTGTAAAGTCAATTCCTTATCCGAACATCACGGCCAAAAAACTGGTATCTGGGAAAGACCCTGGCAGCCAGGTGTCGTTTAGGGAAATATTGGTGATCGACAGCAGTTTTTAAAAAATTAACTTTCTACTACGTTTACTATACTTATTTCCTCCTGAATGTTCTATGAAAATTTACTATATTATCGGTACCCAAATAACTTGTACATAAAAGTATTCGCCTGCAGTTATAGGCCATAACAGAGCATCTGGCACTTACATTTGAACGACACTTAACAAAGTTAAAAATTGCAATGTCATAGAACGAATATTAATTATTTCCGCAGCTAATAGATCAGTCGGTTGACACCTTTAAGTCGGCGGATTGGACGGGCATCGGAAAGGGGCTCGACTAGTTAGTTTTGGTGTGTTCTTAAGCAGTCGTTGTGTCAGCTAGTATGCTTATTGACCTAGCGCTCTTCGGTAACCAGAGCTAGCTGATGGTGCAGGATCAAGCAGGGAACGTACCAGGCACAGCCAGTGATAAGCCGAAAGATTTCCCAGATCTAGATATCGCATATCCAAATTATTGTAGTTATACATTTATAGATAGTTTCAATTATCTGCAGAAGGTGAATCTAATGTTCTTGCTCATTCCGGAGTCGAATATTTCATGTCCTGGCGTAATTCGAAACGAGGTATGACAGTTCTTGGAGTCTGTCTGCGGAGCTGCGGAAACAAGAACAATCAATGGTGCAATATCTTATGATTAGTTTGTGTACTTTGAAATACAGAAATCGTCCTTTATTTAGCATTGTGTAGTGCTTCAACTTTCTATAACATATTTTAATCAACCATTCGCTTATTAAGTTTAAATTTTGCTTGAATATAATAATTAAGTATGAATTTTCACGTCGCTTCACGAAGGAATAATTTCATGCAACTCTTTTATGAAATTAGAATAACCTTACTTTAAATCTAAATCTATATTAAATCTTATTTATCTCCATTTATAAATTAAACAAAAAGAAAACTAGTATAGCTTTTCACCCTTTGGGTACAGGCTATAACAAATCTACTTGCAAATTTTTTAGAAACACATATAGTTGACATTAAGGATGTGTAACGATAGGGCCATATCGATATTGAAAGCAAAATTTAATTAAAAAATTCAAGCCATGAAAGCCAGTATGCAAGCCAACAGCTCCCGGTAAAGGACCACTTAAATGAAAAAGGAAACGAAAAAGAGAGGCAGACGCTTATGGGTGCTGAATTTCTTCTGTGAACCTACCTTTTTGGCATCAATGAAATATAAGGAGGTTCTAATCTGCTATGACCCAGATAACACTGTATAGGATTTATCCTGTTTTCTGTATAAAGCGCACAGGGTTCGGCCATATCTGGATCAATATAATTGTGACTTCTCCACTGGCTGGAGAGTTTTCAGTTTTACTTTGGAAATGGGGTGTATTTTTATATTTTCAAAATTATAAATTTTCAAAAACAACGTTAGACTGAAGCTCGATCAAGGACGGAATGCTTAATCAATCGTAATCGGTTGCTTTGTTTGGAAGGCAAAAGCAAATCGCGTTAACAAAACAAGTGTCCCACTGAAAAAAAAACACACTGCAGTTGGAAAGTAGACGAAACTTGACCACTGAATGATTTTGCTAATATTCGTTTGAAAGGCAACGCCCATTCAGAGTATAAACTGTAGTATGTCAGAAGATAAAACAAGTACACAAGTATTAAGTTTGTGAAAAGCAAACGAGATCGTGAACTTTTGTCACGTTGTCCTCCGTGGTAGCTGTTTTCGGGGCACCCGGGGGTGGCTCACCAAAAACGGACCTGCGACCATGTTGAAACTCATTAAACCAATTTTTGATGATCGCCATCGAAGGAGAAGATTCACCGTATTGCGTCATTGCGAGCCACCCAAAAACAAGAATCGAATCAAAAAAAGATATTACTCTTTTTGCATTTTTCTAAAATCCGCGAACACTCTCGCCATCACGCTCGGTCAGAACAAAACTAAAAGTCCGATACGACTGAAATTTTAACAGTAGCCATCGACCAGAATGGACTACCCGATAGTGAACTTCACTTATCGGACCACTCTCGTAACAGGCAGACGAGACAAATCTATCAGACATGCCCGCCCGTCTGTCCGTCCACCTGGATGAATGCCTGAATTGCTGAAACCGCTGAACAATATTCGTATATAGACTCCTCTCATCCCTATCTGACACTTATTTTACATTTTCTCAGGAGACAAATATTTTGACGGTTTTTGAGATTTTCATTCATTTTGGATATAACCATTCAATTTATTTTTCCGAGAATTTGAAATTTCCCAAAATTGATTAGATTATTGCGTTTAACAATTATCAGCAATTGCATTCTTTATTGAAGTCCCATATAAGGCCACTGTAAATTGATGGTAAATGATGGAATTCAATGTTGGACGTCTTTTGCTTGTTGTGGTAGAAATAGTAGCGGCCCTACATACTATAAGTTTATAGCGAAACATCGCTATGTGAGATATCGTAAAATTGAGTCATTACTGGGTATTGTTCAAACAACATTTCAGTCCTTTTTCATCATTTTTAGAAGTTTGATTTATTTTTTGATATTTCTCTGATCTAAAATATGCATTTGCTGTTCCCGGTTATAGCCCGACGAATCCAATCCAAGTAGTAGTAGACGCTAGCCTGCACATCTGGAAGTCCTACGGCACAGGGACGACCCCAGTTGACAATGCCTACTAAGCTACCATTGCTAATGAGCGGACCGCCGGAGTCGCCATGACAGGCTCCCTCACCCGTACGGCTGAACGTACAGACGTGCCCCACACCCAGGTTGGCCGTATTATTGAATATCGCAAGGCATTCCTCATGAGGCACAAAGCCAACAGCGAGCTTCTGCAGATTGTCCAACGGTTCATCGTATGGCGCATCTGACCCCCATCCTGTGAGCACAATTTCGTCACCCTCTCTCAACGGGCGAGTTGGAAGATCCACGGGCTGGATCAGCTGATTAAAGACAATACTCTCATTGACCTGCAGCAAAGCAATGTCGTTGTGCATATATGGAATATCGTAGTTGCAGTGCATGTGAATCTGCTTAACATAGTAAATGGTGCCGGGCTCCTCCCAGCGGTTGGTTCCCGCAATGATTAGTACATCCTCGGGCAGCTTTTTCGTCACGCAATGGCCAGCGGTGATGATCCAATCCGAATTGAGAATGGCTCCGCCGCATTTGTGAGAATTCCACTCGTCCTGCAGTGAAACCTGATAAGGTGCGAATCCTGCCTCCGCTCTTTCGCCACCCACAATGCGACCATTGCGGTTGATGCTACCAGCAGTTCCCTGACGGAGCAGCTGTATGATTAAAATGTAACCCAGGAACTTCATCATGCACGCTTGATGCGTAACAGTGAACTGAATAATGTAGAACACAACTTTATATCGTAACTTTTATTCGGTTTCCTGATAGTATCAGTTGCGACCCTTATCATGCACACCGTAAACTTGGTCATTAACCTAATCAGACACTGTCGACTGATAGCCACCGCATTTGGCATTACCACCGATTACATTACGTATCCAATCCCTGTAGAATAATACACTGGCATGCACATCTGGCATTCCCAAACCACAAGGCCAACCCCAATTGACCAGTCCTACGAGCCGCCCACCGCTTATAAGAGGACCTCCAGAGTCTCCGTGACAAGCGCCTTCGCCGGCACGAGAGAATGTGCAAATATGTCCAACATCGCAGTCAGGATCATCGTTGAGCGCCTGTTTGCATGGTTCGTGTGGGACGAACTTTAAATACAGCACCTGCAGATTTACAGGTACTGAGCCACCCGCCACTGTGGTGCCCCAGCCAGTTAGGATGACTTCGTCGCCTTCTCTCATAGGAGCCACTGCCAAAGGAATGGGCTGAGTTCGCTCGTTCCAAGTTAAGGGATCGGTTAATTTCAGCAGAGCAATATCATTGTGCATTAGTGGATTGTCGTAGTTGCAGTGAGTGTAAATAGCGCTCACATAGTTAATCGCGCCTGGACGAGTGTACTGGTTGGTTCCAGAGGCGACTGCCACGAGTTCTGGCCAAGCACCGACGACACAATGAGCGGCTGTTAAGACCCACAACTCATTTACAATGGCGCCGCCACAAAAGTGTGAACCGGACAAGGTTTGAAGCGAAACCTGGTAGGGTGCAAAGCCTTCTTCAGCTGCCTCGCCACCCACAACCAATTGATCCTTGGCTAACTGCGTGGCATTCTTAACACGAATACCAGCAGCGCCCGTGGCAATAGCCCCGAGTATCAGTAACACCGCCTTCATTTTGAACGTTTCAAGAGCTAATAACAAGTCCAGTTTGGTAAAGGTATGATAAATATTTGTTATGCTTGTTTAAGCTATGATAAAAGTTGACTTTATGATTGGCCAATTAACAGTTATTGTTGGCCATTTGGACTTTATCAGCTTGATATCACATTGCTTGGATATTTAAAGTTATTATGTCATAAACAAAAGAAATACTGTATTCGGTTTGCAAGGAAGCGTGACAATTAGTTCCCCCATAACATACTCTACGTGAAGACTTGTCTGCCAATTAAGTCATGAAAATGGAATTCCTATATTATGCAACCATTGGCTTGTATACGTCTATCCGATAAATTAATGTAGAGGGTATACAAGTTTCGCATAACAAATATCCAGTGTAATTTTTTCAAGATACAGAGAGTGGCAAATGCATACTATATATGTACTTGTATATACGACTTTGATTGGCATATACCGCTACGATAAGTAATGTATGATCGCGTCGCAAACAGTTTACGCTGGCATACCAATCATGAAGTCACGTAGTTTGCTGCTGCTCGGGCTTTTCCACGTGGTATCTGCATCCGATTACCTTAGCTCCTTCATTGTGGGCGGCCAAAATGCCGTGGAAGGTGAGGCGCCTTATCAAGTTTCGCTGCAAACTCTACCGGGCCGCCACCTCTGTGGAGGAGCCATTATTGGGGACCGGTGGATACTAACTGCGGGTCATTGTGTGAGTGGCTGGCCATCAGATCGGCTGCGCGTAGTAAGCGGCACGTTGCGCTACCCTCAGCCGGGTGCGATTCACTATCTTGGGGGAATATTCCTGCACTGCAACTATGATAAGCCCAAGTTCCACAATGATATTGCCTTACTGCAATTGAATGCGAGCATCATTTACAACCCCCAGACGCAGTCTGTGCCACTGACAGCTTCTCTAATAAAGGGCGCGGAGCTCGTCTTCACCGGCTGGGGCTCACAGTCAATCGCTAGCGATCCACCTACTCAGCTCCAACGGGTGCAGCAGCAACACATCTCAAGAGAGCAGTGTGATGCTCTTTTAGCAGACCAGCAAGACATAGATCTCGGAGCCGGACATCTATGTGCCTATCGGCGTCTCAACATTGGCGCCTGCCACGGTGACGATGGCGGACCTTTAGTAGTAGACGGTAGCCTCGCCGGCATACTAAGCTACTATGTACCCTGTGCTCAGGCTGTACCGGATGTCTTCATGGACGTGCGTTACTACCACGACTGGCTCAGACAGGTGATCAGTGGGCAGGGCAGGTGTGCTCAAGTCCAGGAACAGATCATTAGTTAGCCAATGATCAAAAATATATTTACGTTTGTCATCATCAACGTCCCATGAATATGGTTCGTAACGCCGCGTTTTAATTTACTAGCCGATATGTAGTATAGACACACCTGAGTAATGTAACTGATATAGTATCCAATTAGTTTAATACGTAAGTAGCCCGCCAATACCTAATTCGAAAGCTAATTAAATGAAATATTTATAAATAAAATAAACTCGACACTGGAAAATTCATTAGATGTATCTACGAAAATTCATGTTAAATTGCTACCGACAAAAGCCATGCGCCGCACTGTGGGACATTATGATTTTATCATTGAAAAAATGATAGCATATGAGCGAATAGAGTACAATGGAGGTTTAGAAAACTAAGCCGAAATTAGAACGGAACCTGTATTCCGAAGTAACTGTTAAAGAATGAGAAACACCAATTCTTGAATACTACTTTTTCTTAAAATATACACAATACAAATATACGTAATTCTTGAACAGGATGTTGCTAGTTCAGAATCATCCTAGAAACATTATGTCACTTTAAATATGTATTAAGGCAATATTATTCAAAAGTCCCCAGGAATATATAAAATTACGAATCAATCAAACCCTTCTGGAATGCCGCCACATGAATTGAAGTTAAAAATTAGATTTTCAATCAAACTTTTGAGAAATTAAATCCCTCCGAGTATGTGCAATGTGATGAGGCTGAATATTAAGGAATTGCAGGGTAATTTGAGTGTAGCAAACATTATTAACGGCCCAGCAGCTGGTTAACTAGCTCCTATGCCGAGGATACCGATGAGCCTAACTGATGTCAACTGAACTGATGATTTAAACGGCTTCAATTTCTAGTAAAAACATCTTCGAATTAGCAGGAATCGATCTACGAAAGGAATGTTTTGCCCATGGCCAAATGAGAAGTTCTGACTCAATAAAGAATAACAAACAAGAGAGAACGCTACAGTCGAGCAAGCCCGACAGTGTAATACCCTGTACCCAGGTAAACTTCCGTCACTGAGTTATACTAATATACCCTTTTTACCCTACGGGTACAGGGTATAAAAAGGATGACCGTCAAAATTGGACACAAAGTGCGCCTACTTTTTAATTATTTAAAATGAAAGTTGAAAATGGACAATGAGGTTGATTGTTACTTCAAATACAATAATCAAATAATATAATGCCCGATTTTTTATATTTTTGCGATATATTTGCGTTTTTTGTCTGTGGACTATATTCTTTGATCATATTATTCGATCGTTTGTATAAAAAGCATTTGCAAATTTGTTGGCCACGCTCCACAGTGCACCCCACCTGGTGACTCATAAGGCACTTTGATTTATGTCACAAAAATCATGTGCTCGTCTTGTTGACGCCCTATAAAGCACACGAGCACACGTGTGGATAAGACTTTCCAATTGGAGGCATCACATAGTGTCGGGGTTGTGCCCCAGCATAGCTTTTGGCTCCCTGCTCAGTTGAAAAAAATGCGCAGACCAGCTGTCAAAAACGAAAAGCGTTCAAAATTTTGAGCTAACGCTGATGTTGACAAGCACATGGAAATTCTGAAATATTTTCGGCCAAGAATATTCTCACTCAAATCTTATTCAGCTATTTGGCGTGCGTCTTTGTACATCTTTGAGTTTTTGAAAAGATCTTCGCTGCTCCGCATTTAGTTGCTGCGGTGGCTTCGAAGTGTGCGGTGCAAGCTATTTTGTGCGTTTGGAATACACGGTGTATACACAATATGTACATATATGCATATGTATATGGGTGCGCGAGTGTACATATAGCAAATAATATACAAAATTGTTCAATTTGGAAAAGAAAATAACGCGTAGTGAGCCAAAATGTTCAAGTATGTGTCCTGACAAGTGGCCCCGAATCAAATAAAACCTAAACTAAGAACATCCAACGAAGAATCTAGAAAGAAATATGTGATGAATAACACGCGCCATATATTATATAGTGTCTGAAATCATCTGTACAAGCGCAAAAAATAAATTTCATATATCTCTGTCTGAAGTGATTCGGGAATTAGTGTGAAAAATTTCATACAACGAGTTGCCATTTTGTTTAATTTTTTTTCCACCGATGACGTGCAAAGTAAATGCGCTGCCTGCCTCCGTGCTCAGTGCTCAGTGCACAGCTGTGAAAACGTATAACAAAGTTGTGGGGCGACGGACCCCCGACTGGGTGGGTGTGCGGTCCAAAACGAACGCCAGATGTTTGCATAGTTCGTCTTATTTTAGCCCATAACTAAGCGCATTCAATCGCATACCTGTGAATATATAGAAATAAAATGCATTTTGGGTGCTAGTCTGTTTATTTGCTTTTTCAATTCATACCAGTGCGAGTATTTTGCAAGATATGTGTTATTAGGCATACCAAATCAGCAGAGTGGACGTACTTGGAAAAGCAGTGGCCATGGATAAATATAAATATTTAGCTCTTAAATGTTGTTTCCATTTCATGTTGAGCGTACAAATTTCGTAAGGAAAAGCGATGTGGCCAAGAGAGCTGAGTACTGTAGAATAACAAGAGAAGTTCACGTGGCGTATGCGTAATATACAAGTTAATCAGCTGCTGATAGTCGTAGCACAACATATTTTTTATAAACTCACACAAGCGTTATAGTTTCCCCACTTTTTGACTGAATTCCATAAATTCTTGGCATTATAATAATATCCCATTAAAACAATGGCATGTTTATCCACATTTTTATATGACAACGGATTTTAATTTGAATATTTGAAAGACATAGAGACAGCTTCTTGAAAGTGTTGTGGGTCAATTGCTTGAAAGAACGTTAAGTAATGTAGAGGCGTTTATATGGGTTAAGATTATGTTTTGGATTTGTTATGGAAAAATAAGAATTTTATAGCAGGGAATAATCACCGGGAAGTGTTGAGCGAAATGGAATTTGTTTCTAATGTGATGTTTAACTATTATGAGCTCACACACACAAAGACACACATTTGGAAAATTGGCAAACAAACGTTTGCATGGCTTTTACGCTCGGCAGAAATAAAATCAAAGAATTTATGTCCATTACTTTTTGCGAAAATCTAAGCATATTGTGATGACTAAGACGAACAACGCCACGAAACTTGAACATTTTCTGGCAATATATTTTTTAATGAAGGCTGCTTCTTATCTTGTGGTGCTCGTCTCGTTAGCTGCTTATTTATAATAAATGAAACACAAATAAAAAAATTAGACATGTTGCACTCGATGAGTCAATGACGGGGAACACGGAATGGAAACGTTCTTGGGGTGGGCGCCAACATTGCAATTGGCAACAAATGAAGCATATATGAGTAGGCGCTTTCAATTGTATTTGCAACTACAAAAGCAGTATATTCTATAAATAATTGAAAACAAAATCAGCTGCGCGCAAATATCACAACGTCCGAAAAGTCACCAAAGCTGACAAAGTCAAGAGCGCAATCGCCACAAACACAACAGAGCAGAGCAGAGCACAGCACGCGAAACAAAAAGAAAAAATATTGAACAACACACACATCTGGCAGATCAAATGTATTCCACTAGCAGATCTGTGCGTCGGATTAAAATTTAAATATAATTCGGCACAATTCGGGTTAGGTTTATCCTCCCTTCCATTTGGTTGGGTTTTCCCGTCATTGCAGCTGAAGTTTTCAATAAATTGACCAAATTGTGGGAAATGTTATGGAAAAAACAGGTTTCTGAGCACATAATAAGTATTGGTTCGGGACTTTGAAGCTGAATAAAACTGTACATTTCTAAGAGTGAGTTCGTTCCTGACTCGGTTCGAAACACGGCGCCTACCATCATCCCATAAAGCATGATTTCAAAATTACTTGCAGTTTAAAAATTCTGTAAGAGTGATCTTCATCTATAAAATCTCAAGCTGTCCTAATTCCGCAGCATAAAATTAAAAACAAAATACACACAATTGCATGCAAGATTGAATTCTACAAATATAAAATATATTTGTGTATAGTGTATATAATTATATATACACGTATATTATAAAATAATACCCTAATAATTATAACAAGCTTTCTCCCAAGATAAATAAAGTAGCACAATGTGCACATACTGAATACTAGTGCAAATTTTGGAGTTTTTGGTATTGTGGACACCATTTAGACATCGATTTGTGCTCATTCCCTTCCACACACTACATTAACTAAGTAAATCAGATGAATTACCATCTTATTCATCTGATTTACTAAGGGAGAACTCACTTATAAAATAAACTTAAGCTTGTTAGTTTGGTTAAAGTAAATCAAAAGAAAACTAACTATTAACTCTCCGAACTAGAAACCAGTTATTAATCTTCAAATGTCATTGATCTCAAGTTTCCAATAAAAAGCCATTTGAACTCAACAGTCAAATCTGTTTGGTGAGAACTTCTGCTAATTTGTAATTCACATTTGTTCAGCGATATTTCATTTTCCCAGGGGAGTTGAAGCCCATATGTACGAATATATATTTAGAATCAATAAAACGTCGGAACAATATACTTATTGCCGACAACATATTTATTCGGCAAATAAATTAAAATAATATCGAGTACGGTATATGCCTAAGATATTGCAATTAATTTTAGTCGCATCTAGTATTTATGTAGTGTGATATAAATGTCGCTAGATTTGGAGAGCATTGTTTATTTAATTCGAATTGTTATTTATTATATTGTTGTTTTTTTTTTGTTCACGATCGTGCCTTTTATATTTTTTGAGCTCATTTTCCACCCCACATGTATTGCAATGGAATTTTCTCACAAGGTACATAATATATTTTATATACTCGCACAAAACAGACTTATTGGATTTATTTGTTTTAAACTATAGGTTCTACCGAACAAAATGTGGGAAGAACCTAACAAATAAATTAAATGTTCGCTAGAATATTAATATAAAGATTAATCTTCAATCTAATAATTAAAATTGTTTTTCGGGTTTCTTAGCTGATTCTATGTGCCTGGCCACCGCTGTACATATTATTATGAGAAAAATAATAACGAAATTGAACGAAACGAGCTGCGGCCGCTTTGGCTGCATATAACTTTGAGTAAGGAGGCGCGCACAAGTCAGTCGATTTGAGAAATTGTCGCGATCAGAACATTATTGTCGTGCGCCACGACGAATTCTTGAAACGCGCGGATCTCTTTAGAAATTGTTTACGAAGAGGCAAAGAGACTTCTTGCGTTGTGTTGTGTTGAAAAACGTGCAGGCCAGGCATTATTCAATTAGCCTAGGCCGGACAAGTGCAGTATTAGTAGCTTCCAAAGCTTCAATTTTAGTGAAACTATTGTAGCAATTCAATTTCCAATTAACTATATTCGTTAACTGCCGAAAGCATCACCATGGCAGCTCGCAAAGTAAGTTTGGTCAATGTTTTTGGTCAGCAAGAACATATTTCCACACACACACACACACACACACACACACACACACACACCCATACATACCTTGCCCCACATACCCGAATAGTCCACACACGCATTTTGCATTTTGCATTTTGCGAATTGTACAATGCATGTTTTGGCTTGTTTTTATATACAACAGTACACACCGTATGTATTTAACTAAATGGAGGACATGTGGCTTTCATTACCTTTTCAAAAAGAAAAAAAAAACATTCTGCCTATTTTTAGACGGAACGCAGCTAATTTTCTCGGTTTATTTGTGTAAATGTTGTGTGTAAATATAGTTGCAAATAAATTTTAAATAATTAAAATGGAAGTGAAAATTTATTTGGCGTTTCATTACGGCCGCTGACTCACGCAATTCAAGTGGCGCCTCACGTTCGGACGCTGCCCATGTTTAGATATAAACGTGTTTGGGGATATGGATGTCGACGTGGACGTGCCAGTTTATTTCCATAATCGGGCAACAACTACTACTTAGTATGCAAAGGTCACCGACGCATGGGCGCTTTATTTGGCGACACATTGAGCACTCCCTTGGGGCAGCGACGAAGGACTTTCTCCTATATTGTCATTATCCTTAGATACTCAATGCCCATGGAAAAGCTTGTTAGCTCGACTTGACTCAGTCGGCTATATTTAAAAAAAGCTAACCATATCGGGAAGGTCGTTTGCTCTGCACTGACAACGTCATTTGTTGCGCTCAGTCAAATGTCTGTGAGCACTTGTGTTTGGATTTCGTTTCGCCTTTTACTGATCGTGGATGATGGCGGGCGGGGAAGGCGATGGCGGGCGAATTCAAAAAGGCATTGCCAAAACCAATCAGCAAACATGCGAAACGCTTACCCAAAATCTATTTGCTTTCATTTGGGTGTGTGTGCGATATGCAATGTTTTAGTATGATTCACGACATTCACTGTCGATGCCTTTGCAATGATATTGAGGAGTTCATATAAGTAGAACCACTCCAAAGTGCATAAACAGAACTGACTGCTCACAAATTTTTATTTGGCAATTGCATTTAAACAACTACTTTATTCGAATTATATGCCTCAACTATTCAATGGACTTTTCTGAAGCAAACATTGTTATAAAAGTAAATGTAAAATGATGCCATGAGTCAAAACATTAAAAAAAAAATATTTAATTTTCACCATAGAGAATTTATCAAGAGAAGGTCTCCCATGATCATTAGCAGTCTTTCAGATATATTACTTACTATTATCTTAATCAAGCGATTTGCTTATGGCTTCACACTTTTTCTGTATATATACATATATATCCGACTGCCTAGTTATATAGATAGAAATTGGAACTCAGTTTCCTAGTTTTGCACAAATTGCCTTCACTTCCTAACTCGATTTGAGTACTTTGAGTACAAGATAGAAGACCATCTTATGGCGCAGTTTATGGGAGTTGAGGTGCAAACAATCTCTTCCACTTCAAACGTATAGTTTTCATTATGAATTTCCGAAGGACTGCAAATTAAGAGTACATACATATTTTGCATTACTTAACCAACAATCTGACATTCGAGGTTTTTCAAAATATACTTTTAGTAATACTTCTTTCTTCTGCTCACCTGCAGTAAGAACTAACAACGCAAAAGAAAAGAAAAGAAAATTGTTGTATAGCTCAAGAAGGCGAATTTTAAAATTGTATGCATGTCATACTTTTATACAAGTGGGTTTTTTATTATATTCGTCGTTAAGCTTTTCCGTTATTAGTATGCACGTGAGAAGCTTGTACTTATGACTTCAAAATTTCACAAAACTAGAAAATCTTACAAAAACATCACGGGATGATCGTCTCTTGATTAGATAAATATTGATAACAACTATATTAAGTGAATGGAAATACCATAAAATAAAGGCTATATTTTAATGGAAAACAAATCCCAATGACCTTGAATGACAGACGACTCCCTAATTAAATAAAGAATCTTCTGAGCTCACCCAAGAGTTAAAGTTTGGTTAACTTAAACAGATATGTATATTATTCAAATGCTCTGATATTTAAAAATGAAAAAAAAAAATCGCGCGTGAACGAACGTACATATCATTAAAATGCCAAAATATTTATTTTTTTGATAGTATGTGTGTAATGATTAATTTGGTGGGGAGGGGTTGGTGATTACCGTTACATACACCTAATTCTGTTTTTACACGGTAGATTGGTGAGTCAGAAACAACCGTTGACCATATGAAAAATAGGTGCTAGGTTCCTTATCTCTAAATAAATATATATGCAATTTTTAATTTTCGAACTGTGTTATATCAAAATCGTTTAAAAAAACCGTGTAAAAACAATATTAGGTGTACATACCTCTGTATTTAAAACGTACAAATCAGCACCAAAATATGCCATACGCAGCGCTTAAGCTTTGATTTAAAATGTAAATAATTTGTTGCTTTAGCATACTTTTGGGCGCGCAAATCAAAAAGAATTATGAATTTTCTCTTTACGCTAAGCCCTCCTCAGAAGTTCCCGCCTCACGATATTTTTATAGCCTGTACCCAAAGGGTGGAAGGCTATACTAGTTTTGTGCGAATGTATGTAACAGGCAGAAGAAGGCGTGGCAGACCCAACAAAGTATATATATTCTTGATCAGGGTGACAAGCCGAGTCGATATAGCCATGTCCGTCTGTCTGTATGAGCGCAAGGATCTCAGAAAGTACAAGAGCTGGAATAACCAAACTTGGTATCGAGGTTCCCCTTAGTCCTAGGCAGGTCAAGTATAGTTTTTTATTCTGATACACCCCCACTCCCCCGCAATACCTGTTTTTTTTTAATAAATTCCGTAATTCACAGAATTTTGAAATCAATTTTGGTAGTTACATTCAGTTAGTGCTAATGTGCCAAGTTTTATCATGATAGGTCAATTCTGAAGAAAGTTATAGCCATAAATAAAATCGCTGCTCATGCGCTGCCTGGAGCTCTGCCGGCAGCGCTGCCTTGGTTCAACTTTGTGGTGCATACATACACGCATATAAACACGCATAGACATGATGTAAATGTATGCTGTTAAAACTGAACATAAACATGTCTTCTAATTTAATTAAATGAATAAATTTAAATTTTTTTTAATAATTTAATTTAATTTTTTTTTTTAATTTTCCTTTTTTGTGGAGAGTACAGACTATTTTACTATCGGGCTTTCTCGACTGTAGCGTTCTCTCTTGTTTTTATTATGGTACCAAAAACACAAAATCTTCTGTAAATATAAATTTATATTCAATGTCCTCGTATTAAGAAATTAAAACTATAAAAAAATAGCCTAACGATCATAATATTTAGATCAAATAGACCTATGCAAAAGTAACTAACAACGACTACAAATCAAAGCTATTTGGATCGTTCGAAAAGAATAAACTATTATAATTATATTTAAAGCAAAGCAGGAGAGGCGACCCAATTTGTGAGAATTTCGGGAAAAACAACACTCCAACTAAAGGCTAGGAAATGCTCCAAAAATAAACACACAAAGCAGCCAGATTCTCATGTTCAAATAAAAACAGTTTAAGCTTTAATTAATATATCACCAAGAGTGATATTAATTAATTCGTTTCATGCAGAGGGAAAAAATGAAGTACAAAACAATAGCTTTTTAGATATTAAGGCCCCATTTCACATCCATGCGTGATCATGTGACCTTGTGTGCCGTCAGGAAGCGAAGTCCATTTTCTCCACAATTAGTTTGGAAAGACTTCCATTGCTTTATCAGCCACCCAGAACTGTAATCGGTGAGATGATACAGCTTCAAAACAAATTTTATTCGAATACTAAAGTCTCGCGTGTGTATGAGTCGCACATACATATATCGGGTACACTTCCCCAGACTTCGTATAACAAGTTTTGTGACCCTTGCGTTCATACAAATGGAAAAACATTGCTACAGCTACTTAATCATGTAGAAAGATTTTGGTATCTTCCACGCACCGTTCGGGTACAGGACATGTCTATGACTAGAACTTACAAATGTATTATAGTAAATACACTGATTTGGATGAAACTTTAGTCATTCTGAGGTATTATAACAAACTAAGTCGGAGTTGAAGTAGTCGAGCGGGGGTGTGTGGGGTCCGCGATGCTTCTTTCTAGGCTTACTAGGTATACCCAGTCAACTAGTATATACTTCTACACAGGCTATAAACAATCAATTACTCTGATAAGAAGCTTTAATTGCTCAAATGTACACATAATTTATACACAGAGTGTAGAAAGCTTTAAGCGCGCCGCCGCAAGAGAACAATAATAAACAAAAGCAGTTCGAAAAGCAAGAACGAAAAAAACAGCAAAACAAAACAAAAAGATAAGTAGTGAGAGAGCGAGAGACGGAGAGCGCCAATCGTAAGAGCGGCGCGTTGATCAGCAACACAGCAGCAGCAGCAACAACAATAACAGCCGCCAAGATGTACGCCAGCCAACAGCAAAATGTTAATGTTAAAAGCGCTGTTAGCGCCGGTGCGCGACAAACTCAGCTAACTTCGGCGCAGCCGGTCTCAAAAACAGTTGACGGTGGTACGTGTTTGCAAACAGAGCGGTTAGCGGAGCACAGTTATAGAGCTGGCGACAACAACGAGCGTCAAAGAATCCAAGCACATAATAGCAATAATAATAAAAGTCAACAACAAAGCGGTGCGAGTGTCGGTCACAACGTTGTTGGTGAATTAGTGCAAAACGCAAATTACACAAACGGTCAAACGACGCAAGCGACGATTTTCCTTAATCACATCAATAACAGCAACGTTCACAAGAACGCGCCAAATTCGCTACAGAACGCCGCGTGTGCTTTTACAAATTGTAACAACAGTAATTTGAATTTCTACGCAAATTCGGCGACTGTGCCGCAGCAAGAGCAACATCAGCAACAGCAGCCACAACTACAACTCAAAACAAATAACAACAATAACTACGACAATTTCTATCAACAGGTGTGTTTTGCGCCCCGCTGCGTCTTGAGAGCCTTTGCTTGATCTTCTATTCGTGATTCTTTGTATGTGGGGGCAGTTTTTAATTGCTGCACTTCGTTGTGCCCGGCATTTCCATTTCGCAATTAATGAAAATGTTAATGAACTTCACACGCTGTTCACAGAGCGCAGCAGAAAGGCTAAAGCTGTCGCAGTTTCTTCATTTCTTTTTCTAGCCCTTTTGGCCACCACACATTTCGGCCATGCCCGCAGACAGAGCCAGGCGTCTATTTTTGTTTTTGTGTGGCCGACCAACACACACACACACACATAAACACACAGACATTCTGCTTATGCTCTCTTTGCCTGCTCATCAACTTCAACTTTACGTCGTTGTTGTTGGTTTTTCTGCTTTTGGTTTTGTTGTCGTCGTTGGCGACGTTCTTTTTATGCGTTTTTCGTATATGTATAAATGTATGTATGTACATACATACATACATATGTACATACATTTTTTTGCCACTTAACTGGCCTGGCGTGAAGAAGCGTATTATATGTGGAAAGTGGACTGTCCACTTAACTACAAACGTACACATGTGTGTACAAAACTGGAACAAGTCGCCAATGCCGCTCGATCGCCCACCACACCACTCCCAGGGCCCATTGCGGTATTCAATTGACAATTGCATGACATTGTCTGAAACTCCTCTATTGTCCCAAAGTCGATTTGATATATTAAATACACACATATGTATGAATGTATACAGATACATATGTACATATGTATGTTGTGATGTACATTCGTACATATGCATATAAACGGACGTGAAACTTAAATAAAATGGCATTTTAATATTGCTTTAGTCGTTCGGTATTTCTACTAAGAACAATTCATCAGAAATTTTGCACTAAATTATAAAGTTTTTTTTACACGTGAAACAATAATGTGCTTGTTACATTAACATATTCAATTTTATTAACGGTGAATTATAATCAACTTTTGTGAAATTGGATAATGAAGATGCCACGAATGGCGTACTCGCACAAATCTACTGTCTTCGAACAAACTCCACATAAAAATCAGACTCTTTTATCCAAAGTTTAAAAAAAAACAATTGTTGTTGTGTACATAAAAAAGCTACATATACAAATTATTCAAATTGCCTATGAAATTTGACAAAAACTATTACATATTGTTTATTTTTTTCAACATTCCGAGAACATAATTACCAAAAGCCTTCAGTTTTGGGCAAATAATTACATTTTTATTATTTTTAATGACTAAAGAAATGCAATGGCTACATTGCCAAATAACGAGATTAATTCAATTCGACTTGGGGACCAAATTATATATGCATTTTTCTGTTCGCACACACATTAATATGATTCTACATATTTATGTGTGTACTTTTCACTTAACCAAACCAGCCATGTGCCCTTGTGCTATCAATAATACTAACTGCCTAACTGCTCTATCTGTCCCCGTATTTGCCCAAAACAGCCAAGCGATAGTTACAACCAGCCGGATCAGTACGAGGAGAACTTCGACGAAGACATGGAGACCGAACGTGATCTTGCCGAGGATGCGCAGTGGAAAAAAATCCAACAGAATACCTTTACCCGTTGGGCCAACGAGCATCTCAAGACCATCGATCGTTCCATAAATAATCTGGAAACGGATTTGTCCGACGGTCTGCGTTTGATTGCGCTCATTGAGGTGTTGTCGCAGAAACGCATGCCCAAATACAACAAACGTCCAACATTCCGTAGCCAGAAATTGGAAAATGTTTCGGTCGCACTAAAGTTCCTCCAGGACGAGGGCATTAAAATTGTTAACATTGGTGAGTACCTCAGCTATTATTTATTCTTCATATGTATCCGTGAACTAGTCATATTACATGCGCTGTTTAATTCGCTTAAAAGATTTCCATTAAGAAGGGTTACTCTCATAAAATTATGCAATTCAATTTTTCACTAAGTAGTATGAAAATAGATACATGTATATACATATATCTATAAGCATAAAAATGATCAGAAGGTATAGAGTGAATATGCTATAGAAAATGAAATATCAAATAAGTTGACTATTTAATAAGAACTATAAGTCAATGATCCTTTACCACGATCAACTGTCTTGAAATTGTAAAACTCCGTATTTGTTGGACATATTTAATGCCTTATAAGGGGATTTTAAGAATGGAGTTTTTGTAATTACATTGGAATAACTGTAGCTATTGAAAATGAAATAACTTAATATATAATATATAAAAAGCTTCGTAGTAATAGAATTAAACAAAATTAATGGTTTCGACACAACATTTTTATTAGCAATGTGTAGAGTTGCCTTTTGAATTTCATCAAACTTTTTTTTACCACGTCAATATGTACGTGGTACGTACGTTTTTCATTTTTATAAACATACATACATAGATATAAATACCGTAGATACGAATGCTTAAAGAATGCCAAACACATTGGCCATGATTGATATAGCCAGAGGCACAAAACCAAATCGAATATAACTTCAGCGACAGTTAAATATAAAGACTATCCCAGTTTCTGTGAGCCGCGGATTTTTGCACCATGATTGCATAATGTCTCATTTAATTGTTGCCAAGGGAGTAGAACACACGCACTTAGATACTACATATACATATGTATACTCATATGTCTGTAGATGTATACGAACTGAACCGCCTTGGTGATGCACAGGTAGCAAGACAAAAGTGATACTCCACCACTGCATTCCACACAAATCGAAATGCTTGGCTGTTTTTTTACATTCAAATATGTTTGTATGTATATATTTTTCAATGGCTTGCCTCAGACACTGACACAGACTTAGACTGAGACTGGGACTGCAAAACAAATGATGTCATGCTGTGTTGTTGCCCAGCACCAGCAACAGTAAAATCAACAGCAGCGGCTCAGTCGACTCCGATGCGATTTTTACTTTCATTTGTGTTTAATTTTAATTTTTATGCACAATTTAATGCTTGTGTAGTAATTTGTACAGCAGTTTACAGTACCTGTACATAGGAACACGTTTCAGTGACGTCATAGACTCAAGTAGCAGATGTGAATCGGTCTCATTATTCACACTCCCAATATAAGCGATAAAGATAAATTTGATAGCCGCTTTTCCACAGTGCTGCACAAACACCTACAAAAGAACACCAACGAAGCGTGAGCATTTCTGAAGGTTAATTTCATTAGAGGGGCTTCGATTCGGCGGACACTATCAGTTTCAAAGGCCCACAGCCGGCTAACCGCTAACCGGCTAGCCTCATACTTATAGTAGTAGTCATGGCCATGACAGAACCTGGTTTGGATATTAGCAACTAAAGTGCACCTAGAAAGTATATTCAAGAACTTGCTAATTCATTTTGATTAAAACTATGAATCTAATGTGACCATGTGATCTCTCTGATGGTAAAGATATTTACTTGTACACGAGAATGTATGATTCCGGTATACAAGTATTCTGGATATGTAACATTCTGAACCTCATTCTCGTTTTCTTAAGTTGATGTAATAGCACGACATATTTATAACCCGTGACGACATTGATAAGTGCGCATTTGTTTGTCAATCTCAGTGGGTTTCCTAAGTTCCCCGCACCGCCCATTATTCAATTACAAGCGAACGGGCTCATATTGATAAGCCAACTCTAGGTCTACCGAACTCAGTACTAGCGACAGTACAAATACAGAGTAAATAAATAGATTGACACATTTGCTCCCCTGTTCGAATATAGGGAATTAGTCAATAATAGACAGCTACTTAAATAATGTTAACAAATGTGTGCTTGCCATATGAAACTGTGTTAACGCTTTTCATAACATTGTTTAGCTACCTACCTACTACTGAAAACAATAGAGAACGCTACAGTCGAGCAAGCCCGACAGTGAAATACCCTGTACCCAGACAAACTTCCGTCACTGAGTTATTGGGTATTTGGTTATTATAGCTTTTATAGTTTCTGAGATCCTTGCGTTCATCCAGACAGACGAACGGACATGTCTAGATCAATTCCCTCGTCATGCTGATCAATAATATATATACTTTATGGAGTCGGAGATGCTTCCTTCTGCCTGTTACATACTTTACGGAAACCTAATATACGGGTACAGGGTATAATAAGCAAACAAAATAATATTATAAAAATATTTTTAAAAATAAGTTGCTTAAAATAATAAATTAACAAATGTATAACACGTAGCTTGGGACTTAGTGTATGACCTGGAATAACCAATTTGGAATTCATATTCCTCCAAGTCCGAGGCAGATCGAGTTTGTGTTTTTTTCTGATGCTCCAGCACTCCCCAGCTATTTGTGATTTTTCCTGTAGTTCTTCCTCAAATTTGGCAATTACAATCGAATATAGTTTTTGTGTTTTCATGTAATTTTTCATTGTGATAGGTCTATTGTATAATACGTGAAATAGTATAGTAAAAGTTTAGGTAATGATGAGGAATTATTTAAAATTCGTAAATACCCCGCGGCAGCCGTATAAAGTATACCAATTTACCAAAACTCCTAAATACCAGGTTGCCTTAAAATTGAACTGAGTTGGAGAAGTTTTTGATTTTGATTGATTTTTTATATTTTTGATCATATGCATAAATTATTATTTAAATGCATAGTGCAGTACTTGACCAAAATTTTAATTTTTTGGAAAAAGCTGCGTACGTCCTTATCCTCTTGACCCTTCATACTTGACCTTTTCGAGAACTTAGAACCCGCATACCAACATTGTTCACTCTCTTTCTTATACTTTCGTATATTTATTTTTAGCAATTATTAAAGCTAATCAGTTCATGGCGCTCTCTGTGGTTTGATAAACCAAATTTCGGACATATTTGGCCAGTGATAAGCGCTCCTACTTATCTTGAAGCAAAGTTTGCTTTGGTTGTACACATTTTTGGTAGACATTTTGCTGTTGGCAAGGCAACAGTTGTTGCTGTTTATGAATTTCCAGCCTCGAAAGTTTGTTTGAGTAAGAGATGTTTCCCGAAATTTTCATCGGGGGCTCGATAAATAAATGCATCAATCAGTGAATTTGATTTACCTACTTGTAATACAATTTTGTGCAAATTAATGGTATACGCATAATTTCTTCGTAGAAATGATGGACTTTCTACTTGTTATCAAATTCTATTATACTTATTTGGTTGGCTATCTATGAGTCATTAAGTATTTTCGCCCTAACTGCAGTAAAATTTTTAATGCATCTTTTGTTTCCATATAGAGTATGAATCAAAGCAGGTATAAATTCGTTATCAGCATGACAAGAATAAAGGATCTCTGAAAGTGTTCGGGAAAATACGTGTTTAGGTTTTTCCCAGTGCACTCCCCTTTGAAGACCTTTTTTGCTTTTCTGTTTAAAAATTATTCTTTGATTACATTCTGATTTGGAAAATATATAATACAAGTTGTAATTACGGAAATGTTTGTGATACATAATTCGCTAGTTTTGGTAAACGATTCCATTTTGATTCCCTGCTTTTAACCCTATCTTAATTCATACTTTCAGTTTATTTATTTATTTATAATGCTAGCCTAAAATTAAAATCTTAAAACCAACAGCAATGGCTTCTCGGGCCGTCAGCTAATACTTTCAATTTAGTATATTCGTGTTATTCCATTTTCAATTATACAAATTAAATTCCAAAATTTTGCAAACAAATGTTTACCATCTACAACTACTTTTTAAATTACACCCAAAACAGTAAACGCAAACAATTATCTGCGTTGCCATATACCTGCGTATGTCTATATACATACCTAGCGTGCAAAAAAACTAAATAAAATATATATTTAATTAGTTCAGCAAACCCCACATTGTTGACTTCAGCAGCAGCGTAAGCACACACACACACACACACACACACACACACACACCTTTTCCTGCGGACAAGAGACAACAAAATCGAAATTCTTATTCTATCTGAACTCCTTCCTCTGTGAGATGTCGACGACTTTATGAGTGATGCCGGGCAGTAAAACTGGTTTCCAAATTCTGAATTTTAAAGCCACCGGCACACATTATTTTGCTTGTTTTTTGGACTATCAATTGAATTAGCGCGAATTCGCGTGAAATTTGTAGTGGGTTTGTTTTCCAACTTCCCGCAACGGCCGGAGAATTTTCGGCTCCATTAGTTGCCTCTTGACAAGTCGGCAGCTATGTACTATATACGTATTTAGATTTCCATACGCCACTTGCCGCTCTACAAATGTTTGCTAAATAAAAAAAGATCTAGCGAAAAAACACTCGCGCGCAATAAAATGTACAAATAAAATAAAACGTACGAAGAGAACAAACCTAAATTCTCAAACATACATACTTGTACATAAGCGTATAACGATAAAAGTCGCTCAGTTGACTCAATGACATCATCGGATGTGGGGTTGTACGTTACTTTACTTTAAATTTTGGGTCTCTTTCGGTTATATAACAATAACAAATGTTCACTATTGGTTTCGAGATTTTAATTTTTCACTCCACAGATTTTCGATAAAAAAATTAAAAAAAAGTTCATAGTCCTAATATCTTGGCGTGCTGGCACAATTTGTCACACCCAATTGAATACAATATTATTGATGATGACGACTCATTAAGGGCGAATGTGTTTGGGAGATGAGTCAAACAGAGAGTTTTATTAAAAACAAATATTGTTGTTCTATTTGAAGCTTCTTCATGATCCATTTGACCCAAATCTTCATTTTCAAATATGCTGTCATTTTTTATTATTAATAAACGTACAGAAATACAGCCCGATGTTATTATGATAACTCTCTTAAGTGACCTTGATGTACTATTCGAGCGGATGATTGCCCA